TTATATTTTTAGTAGAGATGGGGTTTCACCATGTTGGCTAGGCTAGTCTCAAACTCCTGACCTCAGGTGATCCACTAGCCTCAGCCTCCCAGAGTGCTGGGATTACAGGTGTGAGCCACTGCGCCCGGCCAATAGCTGGTTCTTAATTTTTCATATAAATGGTTCACCCTGTGAGGCATATATTATTGAAAAGTAATTCACTGTCTGCAATTCAACATTTGAACTTTTATTGGGGCCCATGCAAATACTCTAGTTAGCATGTATTCAGGGTTATTAGCAACATGTGAGTCGTAGGATAACTATTTTGGCTTCTTGATGTTTGGCTTAGGTGAATGCTAGGTTTAGTTTGCATTTTGGAGAGCACACTGTTTAGCCAAAGAAGTGGGTGGGAGAAAGTGGTCCTGCAGAGAAGGATGTCAGTGCTAATCCACATCATGACAAGTGGAAACAGAACAGTATCATGAATCTAGATAGGTGGCAGTAGATAACATGCCCCTGGAGAGACTGGAATTAAGGTTAGGTGGAAATAAGGTTCTGCACCAGTAGCATTTGAAAGGCTTTATTGATAGCCAGAGACTTAGTGTTATTTGAAATTGAGTATAGAATATTGTAAGATAAAGAAATGCTGCTGTCTTGAGGAGATCCTGGTGAGGGAGAGAAAACCTTCCTGGGACCACTTTCTGAGAATTCATAAATCCTTAGTTGAGGATAGTGAAGACAGTGTAAAAGAAGACCAACAGGGCCTAAGCATTATAAAGCCATACTGTTTTCAGCAAAAACCTCAGCAGAAAGTATGAGGCCTGGCAGAGTGATAAAGGTAGAATCAGGGAGGCTGGGGCTGGCCCCAGCACTGGACAGAGGGGTTCCCACGTTTAATTTGAAGATCCGATTCACTCAGTTACTTTTTATCATGCACAGACAGCTATGCTATCCTAGAAAAGCAAAGCAAAGCAGCCAAACGTGGTGGCATGAGCCTGCAACCCCAGCTACTTGGGAGACTGAGGTAGAAGTTTGAGACAAGCCTGGGCAATAGAATGAGACCCTGTTTCGTAAACACAACACCTATGTTTAAACATTTTTTTAATTGGAAAATGCTTTTGAAATTCATAGGGAACCAGGCTGGGCAACAAAGCAAGACCCTGTCTCTACAAAAAATACAAAAATTAGCCAGCTGTGATGGCATGAGGCTGTAGTCTCAGTTAGTTACTTGAGAGGCTGAGGCAGGACGATTGCTCGAACCCAGGAGTTTGAGACCAGCCAGGGCAACATAGTGAGATCCTGTCTCTACAAAACGTTTTAAAAAACAGCCAGGTGTGATGGTACGTGGCTGTAGTTCCAATTACTTCAGAGGTTAAGGCTGAGGTAGGAGGATTGCCTGAGTCTGGGAATTTGAGCCTGCAGTGAGCTGTGATCATATCACTGCATTCCAGCCTGGGTAACAGAGCAAGATCCGATCCCAAGAAAGAAAGAGAGAGAGAAAGAGACAAAGAGAAAAAGGGAGAGAGGAAGGAAGGAAGGAAGGAAGGAAGGAAGGAAGGAAGGAAGGAAGGAAGGAAGGAAGGAAGGGAGGGAAGGAAGGAAGGAATCCATGGGAAAAAATGCCTCCCCTATGCATGTTTTGCCATATTCTAAACCCATCCCTCAAATATTTCATATCTTTAAGCACTGTAGGAAATTAATATTATCAGGAGTGGATTCTGTGCTCATGGCCTGTTTGGAAACTAGGAGATGATAACATTCTGGGGTTTTATGAAAAAGGAGAATGAATTTATTATAATTTGTTGAGAGGTGTGTGGTTGACATTTATGGAGGTTACAAATCAAAATTTCAACTACTGTTCAAGATTTAGTTTGGTTTTTTATTCTATTCAAGCCCCAGAACTTTGGAATGCCAAGGCAGGCAGAATAAAAAGACAGAGGAAGGAAGAATTTGCTCTCTTTGCCTGGTTGCTTATTCTGGGACATTAGTCTTCTCCTGCCTTAGGCTGGAACTTACACCATTAGCTCTCCTAATTCTCAGTCCTTTGGATCCAGACTAGAGCTACACCAATCGGCTCTAGCTAGACTAGAGCCAATTCCTAATAATGAATCTTATATATATATTATAAATAAATAAAAAACATGACAAATATCTCTAGATGATATATAATATTAAAAATATAATAAACCTCATACATTTGTAATATGATAGATATGTAAATATATATTTATATATGTAAATATACTTATTTTAAGGAATTGGCTCATGAAACTATTAAGGAAGATAAGTCTAATGATCTACCATCTACAAACTGGAGTCCCTAGAAAGCCAGTTGTATAATTTTAGTCTGAGTCTGAAGGCTGAGAACGAGAAGAACCAGCAGCCTAAGTTCTAGTGTGAATCCAATGGCCTGAGATAGATATATATCTCCTATTTTGTTTTCCCTCTGTAGAACTCTTAATACAGCCTCTGTGCAGGGAAGTAATAGGGTCAAAGTAGGGTTTTAGAAAGATCTTATTTTCCAAGAGCAAAGGGATTAAGAGGGCAGACCAGTGACCAGAGCAGACTATAGGTAAAAAGTACATGTTTATTTGCATTGAACAGAGAATATGCACTGGGCGTTAGCACTGGGACTGAAAAAAAGAAAAGGATAATTAGAAAGATTATAAAAGAAAAATAATTTGGTGGGACTATATAAACAATAGAAGAGTTCTTGAATTTTCTTAGATGTTAGTCTGATGGATTGGAAATAAATTGATATTATCTGAAACAGGATAGCTTGGGAGGGAAAATAAGTGCCAGGGAAAGAGCATAAATTGCAATGGTGTTATATTCTAATATCATTTGAATTAATTACGAGGTATAAAGGTATTGGGTTCAGGGGTTCAGTGGAGCCCTCAGCTCCCCTCAAAGGATATTTCTCCAAGGTTCTTGGTTTCCTGCTCTCTCAAGAATGAGAGAGGGGACCAGGTGCCCTCGCAAAGTAAACACTGGACCCCAGAGTTTTTGCAGAAAGTGAATTTATTTAGGTAGAGAAAGAGGGAAAAAAAAGAAGAGAGAAAACTTCCACGAAGAGTGCAGAAGGGGACTCCAGAGGGGAAATCCAGAAAAGGAAAGCTCCTCTCACACTGAGTGAGAGAATCCAGAAAGATGGAATCCAGCAGAGGAAAGATAGCTTCCTCATTGGGTAGAAGGGAATTGAGAGAGAGAGATGGAGTTTAGGAGGGGAAGACAGGCTTCCACCAGAGAGTGTTCGTGGAAGGGGATCCAAACATGGAGTCCGAAGGGGTGTGGAAGAAGGAGACTTTTAACCTGGGAGGAATCCCCACCTTCTCCAATACCTCTGGCTAATGAAAGGAGTTCCTTAGAACTTCTGCTGGAGTGATTGACTTTTTGACTCTTCCCGTGCCCATGAGAATTAAAACAGACTGTTAAATGTCCCAGATGGAGAGAGATGGGAGGTGGGCATGGCACTGGGAAGTTCTTGCCCTTAAAACTACGCCCCTTGTGGACCTGGAAAGAGAGCACATTCCTCAAGAGGAAAGCATATTGTTCCCAAGCTGAAGACTTTTGTCCTTTTCTTTTCCTGTTATCAGACTCTTCAGCCTTATTCTACCTTTTCTTTCTGGGTTTTTAAATCACTCATTTTATACACATTCACTCTGCATACAAACTCCCATTTCTCAAATAAGTGCTGTTTAACAATTTGCCTGTATTCCCTTAAATCCTGAAAAAACCAACCATCCTTTTGTAAAACTTGTCATATTTTGTGATACTCAAGCACTACATTCACAAACGGTGACTCTATCAGATGATACAGTTTGTTACAGTGATTGATTTGTACACGGTTTGCTAAATGCATCTATGTTGTAGGCTTTTCGGCTAATATAATTTGTTAAAACCCTCTCAGCAAAGTGCTGTTACAATGACCATCTTCAGGGACTTGGAAATAGCCTCATTATACAGAACTCGGTGTTATACACTAATGGCATGTATTAGAATGGAATTCTGTATGTATTATTACTTCTGACATCAGCCTGGCCTTTGTAGCCTCTTCACAGCATGTAACTTTGGTAATTATGCTAATGCTAGCTAATTCATGAGGACAACTTCCTAAAGTGCGCTTAATTAACTTGGAGATTTTGTAAACAGCTATACATGTAGGTTCCACAAATTATGGGGCTATGTAAATCTGACATGTGTACAGTCTGCCTTCCTAACCTCATCACTTTTTTTTTTTTTTTAACTAAACCTTAATTTTAAACAAGAAGTTCCAATCTGGTATCTATCTTTTCCAGCAAGTGCTTGAGGAAGATTCTAATTAGCATCATTTTAGCCTGTATCCTTCAGTCCAAGTCCCGTGAGCCAGATGAGTTTGGTAGATTGGTGTCTTTTAAGTTGGTTAGAAGAGAAAATATTGAAGTTTATTTCTTTAGCAAAGGGTACAATATTTCCAATATGTTCCTGCAATGTGATTTTGCCAGTTTGCTAGTTCTGCCAACCAACATTGCTCTTCAGGGGACTGTTCTAAAAATCAGACTTCTCATTCAGAAAGCTTCATGATCTCTGCTTCCCTTCAGTTCAGCTGCTGGGGATTTTTTGATATTATAGTGACTCATCATCCTCATTTGAATGAACATCATCTGATTTTTGATCTATTGCATTAAAATCTCATAACCCTTACATGTAAGAGGTGAAGTTCATAAACCTAGAACAATTAGCCAGGCTTAACAGTGCCATAACAGAAATTAAACACGATAAAAATTAAGAGAAAAGGTTAGTGAATCACATCACAGGCAAGAGTAAGCTAGTAAAAATGGAAGGAAGAAAAATATCATCAGGAAAGAATCAAAGGAAAAGAAAATTTACTACATACAATTAGAAGATGTAGCAATTGCATAAAGTTAATGACAGTGGAGAATAGGGATGGTTTTTTAATAATCTTCTTATTACCACTGCATGAAATCACACTCTCAGATAAGTCCTAGAAACTAAGCTAGGGATTTGCCTTTGGTTTCCCAAGGGTCCCAGCAAGGTCGTTTCCCCTCATTAATTGAAGTTACAATCCTAGGTAAAATCTCTTCGGGAACTAGCTATATCACATCTAAAGATAATAAAACATTTATTGCTTAGCCTTTTCTTTGACTTCAATAGTAAGAACCTCTTCTCCGCCCTCAGCAGAAGGAGCCATGCTGATGATGAGTGATTGACGGGAAGTTCCTCTGGGTAAAACTGTCGTTCTCACTGACTGGGGCTCTTCCCCCACTGCAACAGGACTTGCTGTACATTCAGGCCTGTCCAGTGGCTTCTCTGCTGGCTCTCTTCCTTTATCTTCATTTTCTTTTCCTTTATCTTCATTTTCTTTTCGTTTATCTTCATTTTCTTTTTGTTTATCTTCATTTTCTTTTTCCTCTCTTCCTTCAGAATTTTCTTTTTCCTGGAAGGAGCAATTACAAAGAACTGGTGTTCAAATTATAACTGAAAACATTGGATTGGATTTTGATTAGCAGGCAATGGCTAAGATCACCACCAAGACAGACTGTCTGAATTAAGTGCATCCAGGAATCATGTCTGCTTTGCTTCTGTCTATCATTTGACTAAGTTTCTGGTGTGCTAGAGAATGGAGCTGTTGCATACTCATGGTGTTAGTCTGAATTGAATTTTTTTTGTCTCTGCCAAAAAATTCCCTTCCTATTGGTCCTTATACTCTGAATTAGACTCAGTGCTCAGGACTCTGTTTTTGCTTTTTAAATATTTACTTACTCTGTAGAGATAAAATTTTAAATATTTATTTTTGATAAAAAAGTATTAACTAATACTATATAAAATTACTGTAGAAAGTAGAATTTTCCTGTTGCATAAGCTCATGGGAGAAGCTCAGGAAAAAACTTATCCCTTTCCTAGTACAATCTTTTCCATTTGTCCCACAGGTGCTTGACCTGTCATGTTTGAATCTATTGTGTTTAGCACTAGCTGTAGAAATTTCATAGCAAAAGGTACACTGTGCTCTTTACTGGTAATGCTTGGGATCAATTTGAGAAAGGCTTGCCCAGGATATAAATGTGCGCTGATAAAGCTGAGATTCTTTACACATTTACTTATATATTTCTTTACTCCCATACATTTTAATGCAAATTACTATTTCTATGCTGATGCAAATAAAGCATTTGGTTTATGCTGGATCCCTAAATTTCAACACAGTGTTGTGTGTGTGGGAAAGGAAAAGGCAAGGTTTAGTCTTTTGTATATGGCTGACTTTATAATATGTGCTTTACTCATTTTCTGAAAGGTCCACAGCTACCCGTTTCTACAGTTTTAGACATAACACAATGACTAGGTTCAGAAAACCTGAATCCCACTCTGTCTGTTTCTCGGTATCTGCCCTCATAGACTAATTATGAGAATCAAAGAAATATGGAAAACAAAACAAAAAAAGAGAAAATAACATTTGATTTCTTTACATTTCTAGGAATCAAAAGGCAGCTTGGTATAGACCTGTGAGTCTGAACACCTGAGTGATAGCTTTCTGCTTTGTAACTAATTACGATCTTATCCAAATTCCTTGATCTGGGTTTCAGTTTCTTCATCTATAACATGAAAAGCTTAAATGAAATTTATCAAGTTATTTCTGGCTTTAAACATTTGTGATTTAAGTAATTGAATATTTGTGAAAATGTTGATAAAATGGGTTATTTATTTATATATCCATATGTCTCTCTCTCTCTCCATATATATATATATATATATATATATATATATATATATACAGTTGATTCTTATTATTCATGTAGTTTTGTTCTATAAAGTTTCCACAAACAGCAAATTAGCAAATACTGAACCATTGCTCCTGGGGGAAATACAGCATTAGGTTCTTAGGAGCTTCCAACCATAACATTTTTCTCAATTGGTCAATATATAACTTTCTTTCATGTGTGTTTTTGTTTAGCGATACCCTGTTAATTTGATCAAGTAATTCATTTGATGTATTATTGGCTCATTATATTGAACTCATGGAATCAGCACTGTAATTCCTGAATGAAGTTTATCTAACATATTCATTTTCTCTGGAAGGCACATCACAGCATTTTGGCACTTAGGAACACTAGACAGTATTTAGGACTATACTTGGGGACTATTTTTAACAGCAAAATCAAACACACGCAAAAAGCACAAAAATGTGAAACCCATGGCACCAGAAGGGTCACTCATTTATAGTATAAGAGCTGAAACAAGAAAGGGAGTGCCTCTTTGTTCAACCTCAGCTGAAAATGTATGCACTGGGCAACTTCAACGTTTTGCCATCCTGTACTTGCTCTTGTCCACAAACGACCACAAAGTCACCATGAGTATCAATTTTAAGTTACAAATAAGTTATAGTAAGTAGAATCACAAATATAGAGTTTGTGAATAATCTATGAAAAATGAGAGTAAACTGTATTTATAAATACATGTATGTTAAGGCCATCTATAAACATCATGTAATTGACCAGTTTAAATAATAATGTGCTATATATAAAGCAGAAATTATTAGTATTAGATTAGTCCAAATTGTCTCAGTGTCTGAAATGGAATTAAGAGTAGGAGTTTGTGTGGATATGCTTAGTCTGGGGCCTTCTCCATGACAGCCCTCCATTCCCTCTGCCTTATTACCTGAGCTGTTTGTTCTCGCTTCAATTTGAGTAGTCTTGCAAGACTTGCTTTTCCTGTGCCTCCTAGGAGAGTTTTAAACAGTTTGGGTGTCTCTTCTTTTGGTGGGAAGAGGAAGGCAAGATTTTTTCTTGGAGGGGTTGCTTCTGCAGCCTTAGCCTTCTGCTTTAAAAGCACTCTGTGGGTAGGAGAGAAAAGCTGTTTTAGGTAACTCTGTGAGAGTTCTGGCAAAATCTACCAGAAAAACTGTAATTTCTCCTAACCTGTGAAGTTTCAGTGGGTACCTACATTAACCGTTGTTTATTAAGCATATCTCATTGTGATGAAGTTTATCACAGTCATAATACAGTTCTCCTTATCTCAGAGTTTAAAAAGTAAAATCAACTGCATTCATCTCTAACGGGGTTTTAAAGGATGTACCTGGCTTTCTTCATGAGGATCCTTTCAGAATCTGGATAATGCACTAGAATTTCTTGAAGAGTCTTTTTGTCTAGAGTTAAAAGATTGGCAAACCCATGGGCCACAACATTGGCTGTTCGACGGTTTCCTCCTCCTGCTGCTAGAAGGCTGTAAGAGAGAAAAGTGAGTCTTTGGCGCTAGTTTCACTTTTCCTCCACTGAAATTTCTTTTAAAAAATAGCAAGTATTATATGTACTTATACTGCTTCAGAAATCATTCCCTAGAGGTGAGGGTCCAGGTGATTGTGTGGAGAGTGTCAAGATGTGGCAACAGAAATGGCTCAGTTTTCAAAACATTTTGTCTCTAACTCTCACCTCTAGGTTCCACAAATCAAGGACTTGTGGTTGTCGGCAACCTGTCAGATCCTTCATCCTAGATTCCAGAAATGCAGAATCCTTTTGGACTGGGTATCCCTCATTTGCTCCTTCAGATTTACTTTTTTTTTTTTTTTTTTTTGAGACAGGGTTTCACCATGTTGGTCAGGCTGGTCTTGGACTCCCAACCTTAGGTGATCTGCCCGCCTCAGCCTCCAAAGTGCTTGGATTATAGGCGTGAGCCACTGCACCCGGCCTCAGATTTACTTTTCACCTCTTCCTATGCTCCTTTGTTTCCTGGGAAGCTGACCTCTGTAGGCTTGCCCTCTGACGTTGCTTGGGCTCAGCCATTGGAAAAGACAAATAGGGAATCAGAAAGCCGGAAGGGAGTAGGGTCAGAGCATTTATCTCTATGTCAACCTTTAGTTTAGCAGTGGCTGGAATTCTCTACCAAAATCTAGAGCTCCTGACACATGGATGTCTTCTAGAAGTGCAATTCCCACCACTGTTGCTGAGTTCTGGCAATGATGCTCTCGTTTTTTCCTGTTCAGGCCTCACTATAGTAACAGTTCCTTTCCTTCTGCTAAATTTGAGATGCATTGCCACCTTTTGTTGGTGTGGTAGTGCGTTTTCACCCTGCTATAAAGATACACGTGAGACTGGATAATTTATAAACAAAGGAGGTTTAATTAACTCAGTTCTGCATCACCGGGGAGGCCTCAGGAAACTCACGGTCGTGGTGGAAGGTGAAGGGAAGCAAGGCACATCTTACATGGCAGCAGGAGAGAGAGAGAGCAAAGACGGAAGTGCCAGACTTTAAAACCACCAGCTTTCCTGGAAACTCGCTCATTATCATGATAATAATGATAACCGTGGGTGGAAACTGCCCTCATAATCCAGTTGCCTCCTACCACGTCCCTCCCTCAACATGTGGGGATTACAATTTGACGTGAGATTTTGATGGGGACAGAGCCAAACCATGTCAGTTGGGTACCATTAGACTTTTTGTCACTTCTGTCAGCAATCCCTTTATTAAAGTTTACTCAATTGCCTCACTTGAGTGTGTCTGTTTCCCACCTGGGCTCTGACTGATAGAGCAATCAGCATCAAATGTGAAAGCCAGCTCTTGATGATACCCTGGTCACCTCAGATGAATCCAATCTTGCCTTCTGCTGTACTCCAAGATCATCTTGTTTCTCAATGTTATAAGCTGCTCTGTAATACAGTCCTTCACATACATCTCCCCACCTAGAATGCCAGGGAATTGTGGGCTTTATGTCTTGGAGGGATACAGAAGAGCATTTTGCATTTGAGAAATAAGCAACGAAGAGTGGGGGGATAAACAAACACAGAAATGAATAAGATAAATGAATAAAACGTCTATCATTACCAATGATCTGAGAAAGAAGGGTTGGTCTGTAAAAATAGAACAAAAAAAACCACATTTCAAATGTTTGAAAAAGACACTATAGGGTCTGCATTGAGAGGATAACACAATAGATTGAACCCCTTGGATTTAATCTGTTGGAAATTGAGAAAGAATGATCACATTAACAAAAACAGTCTCTACAGGTGGAGAAGACAGAGAAAACACTCTGACCTCTGGAAGAAAAGAGATTTGAGAAGCTGCATGGGCCCTGTGCCTGAAGATTTATGTTACACAGTATGAACAGCTCCTACTGTTGTTGCAGAAAAGGGGGCATTCCAGTTAGCTGTTAATTGTTAAAAAAACTAACGTAGGGTTTTAGCTCTGACAGGTTAAGAGCTTGGAAGTCATTTCTCCTGTCCTTACGACAAGAAAAAACCACGCAATAGAAAAATGAATGACTTTCCTTGGATGCATCAGAAAATTGAAGTCACAGGGCAAACTACCACCCCCAAATTTGGAGAGACAGGCGAATTCATGAAACTACAGCCACATCTGCTTACTGCAGCCGAAGGCCCTGGAGTCAAAACTGGTAAGAATGCTTAAATGCTAATTTTCATAAATTGCTGGAGGCTGAATGTGGACTAATCTGAGAGTGAGAAACTCTTGAGGGGCATGGTTATAAAGTCACTCACACTTCTGTGGGATTTACCACCAGAAAGTTCACCAGGTTCTTATGGTGAAGAGCCAAGGAAGATCTCCTCTTGGCTCTGGCAGGCATAGGGGAAGATTAATCATTGTAAAACATGCCCAGAGCATATTTGTTTTCGATACCACGGGCCTACTATTTAGAGAAAAATACTTTCCCAGAGCCTTGCGCCACCTGAGGGAAGAACATTTTTTCCCAGTATAGCCCCATTAAGCCTTCATGTATTATCTAAGAGAGATGGAAAGTGAAGAAACTCCTGTGAATGTCACAGCATTGGGACATACACAAAAACTGAAACTTAATCATAGAATTATAAATTGTTTCTCCTTCTCCGTACCTTACCTCCACATCAAGGCCCCTATATAATACTAAGGAACTACAGCTGAAACAGCGGCAAGCTGCAGACCCTCTCTAAGAAGTTACACTTAGGCTTTCCTAAGCTCAGCCAACAGGGGAGACAAAGACAGGGAACTAGGAGGAATCTGAAGCCTCTGGCACCAGCAGCTATAGCAAACGTTAAACACAGCCTAATTCCTAGCCAAATTAGCATAAAATGTCACACCAAAGGCCAATTTACCTCAGTCCATATTATTTATTACATAATTTTTAGCTTTAAACAACAAAAAAATTATAAGGAATGCTAAAAGGGAAGAAAAGGCAAGCATCAGAAATAGAATGAAATATGACACAGATACTGGCATTATTAGACAGGGAATATTTTAAAACTATGATTAACATGTAATCCCAGTACTTTGGGAGGCCGAGATGGGCGGATCACTTGAGCTCGGAGTTCAAGACCAGCCTGGGCAACATGTTCAAACTTCATCTCTACTAAAAATGCAAAAACTTAGCTAGGCGTGGTGGCACCCTGTGGTCCCAGTTACTTGTGAGGCAGAGGACGAGAATGGCTTGAGCTCAGGAGGTGGAGGTTGCAGTGAGCCAAAACTGCACCACTGCATTCCAGCCTGGGCAACAGAATGAGAACTGATCTCAAACAAAAACAAAAACAAAAGGGCCCAGAACTATTTTAAATGAATGTCAGATACCAAATCACAGATTCAGGGAGATGGAGAACATCAAGCAAGATAAATATCAAAAGACACACAAAAAATAAAAAACCCCAACTTCTGGGCATAAACTGCAGAAAACCAAAGACCTTGAAAGAATCCAGAGGCGGGAGGTACCTAAGATAAGAGAGAAACAAGGATAAGGGTTGTAGCAGATTTTTAAATTAGAATCCATGTAAGAAAGAGAGTAGAACACAGTATTTAAAGTGTTGCAAGGAAACACTACCAACTAGAATTCTATACTTAGTGAAATGACCCTTCAAAAGTAAGGGAGAAACAAAGTCTTTGTCAGAAAAACAAAAACAGAGGGAATGAATTGCCTGCGGCTTGCCCTGCAGAAAAAACGTTTTATGTTCTTCAGGGAGAAGGAAAATGATATAGACCAGAAACTCAGGTCTACATAAAGAAAGGAAGGACATTTAAAAAGGCATAAATGGAAGTAAAATATTTTATCTTTGTCATTCTTTTTTTTTTTTTTTTTTTTGAGATGGAGTTTCGTTCGTGTCACCCATTCACTCTTGTGCAATCTCAGCTCTCTGCAAACTCTGCCTCCCAGGTTCAAGAGATTCTCCTGCCTCAGCTGCCTGAGTAGCTGGGATTGCAGGCATCCACCACCACACTGACTAATTTTTGTATTTTTAGTAGGGACAGGGTTTCACCATGTTGGCCAGGCTGGTCTCAAACTCCTGACTTCAGGTGATCTGCCCACCTGGACCTCCCGAAGTGCTAAGATTACAGGCATGAGCCACCATGCTTGGCAATTTTTCTTATTCTTAATTAGTCTAAAATATAACTGTTTAAATAATAAAGTGGTAATGTGTTTGGTGATTCTAGCCTATGGATAAGTGAAATGAATGACAGCAATGTCATAAGAATTTAAATGAGAGGGAAGAATTGAAAACATTCTGTTGTAAGGCACCAACCTGTGATGTGGCACAGTGTTATATGAAGGTAGGTTTAGATTAGTTTAAAATGCATATTGAAAACTTTAGAGTAACCATTAAACATTTAAAAAAATAAGTATAATTGTTATGCTAAGAGAGAAGGAGAAAATGAAATCATATAAAATGCTCAAAGCCAGAGAAGGAAGGAAAAGTGTGGGAAGAAACTACTGTAAGGCCACCCACGGCTTCAAACTCAGCCACTTATCTGCACCTAGCATTAATGACAGGGTCCAGGACTCTCCAGGCTACTTAAGAATGAAATTAGGCCCGGCAAGGTGACTCACATTTGTAATCCCAGTACTTTGGGAGGTTGAGGCAGGCAGATTGCTAGAGCCCCAGAGTTCGAGACCAGGCTGGACAACGTGGCAAAACCCTGTCTCTATAAAAAAATACAAAAATTAGCTGTGTGTTGTGGTGCACACCTGTAGTCCCAGCTACTTGGGAGGCTGAGGCAGAAGGATCCCTTGAGCCTAGGCGGTCGAGGCTGCAGCAAGCACCATGATCACACCAAGACACTCCAGACTGGGTGACAGAGGGAGATCTTGTCTCAAAAAAAAAAAAAAAAAAAAAAGGACTAGAATTCCGCCTCTAAGGCAGAAAGTATATATTTGGAATTTTTACATATGTGCTCAATGATTTCACAGTTCAATTTTTTTCTTTGTGGAAAAAACACTAGTCTTTTCCTAAGGTACTCCTAAGACAAGCTTC